TTAAAATCATCATTTTTCATGTCTGGTGTCCTTGGTAATGAGAAATTGATTTATAAGTTTACTTTAAAATATAAGCATATTTTAAAGTAACTATTACTAATTTAATATTCTTTGTAATGGGTATGGGTCAAAAATATACACATAGATTAGATGACTTGCAATAAAAAAGTAAGTTTATGTTCGTGTGTGTGTGTGTGCGTGTGTGTGTGTGTGTGTGTGTGTGTGTGTGGATGTGTGTGGATGTGTGTGTGGGTGAATAGATGCAAATACGCCTATCCTAGAGTAGTATACATGCATGCTATACAAAAACTAACATGACTGTAACGCAAACAAAGAAATACCGTCACAAGTTAAACAATGCGAAGACGAATACAATCACACATACACTTACACACACGCGCGCACAAACACGCACACAAACAAACAAACGAAAAAATTTAACCAACAGACATTGACTTGATAGCAGACTTTTAAACAAACTGTGAGAAAAAGAGAGAGAGAGAGAGAGAGAAAGAGAAAGAGAAAGAGAAAGAGAGAGAAAGAGGGAAAGAGAGAAAAAGAGAGAGAATGAAAGAAAAATGGAGAAAGCAAGAGGAGAGAAAAGGATAGAGTATGAGACTGTAAAAAACAAAACTAGACCAACATACAAACAAGCAGACAAAAGACAATCAGCAAACAGACAGACATACAGAGAGACAGACAGACATACAGAATCATGGCGCGAACGAAATGAAGGAAGCATATTGGATAGTGGAGAGTTTTGCAGGAGAATGATGCCTGCGTAAATCATACATGCATGCATTTCACGCTGTGTTGAAGATCTCTTTCTTTTCCTCAATATCTCCCTTCCTCCTCATCTCTCTCCCTCTCTCACTTTTTTTACTTTCTTTTCCTCTTTTTATTTCTTCACTTGCTTTCTAAACTTCCTCATCTACTTTACAAGAAGGAATATCTTCCGTAAGCTCTCTTCCATTATAAAACTTTATTTCTGTAATAAACTAGTGTTAGCACCTAGCATAAACACGGGGCTAAATGTTAAATAAATATATAAAGAGCATATATATAGAATATGTACAGTACATATACAGAAAATCAACAATATATAACATTTTATTCTACATATATGATATGCTTGAGTAATAGAAATT